AGAACCATGCACATACATGAACAATACTATATTTTATTTCTTTTAATTTCAAAGAAAATCGGAGATTGGGTAAAAAAGGATTGATTGAAATGATTTGAGGTATGAAATTGTATATCATGCACTGTGCTACCAAATTGGTATAACTAAAAAACATAACCATTGCTCCATCCTATACACAAAAACAATTTTTTAATAATATTTAAACTCATATAGTTATTATTGTTATTTTTTTTTTGGAAATAAAAAATAGAAAAATGAAAGATTCCTAAAACAGGTAATTGTAAGTAGTGCATTTTCATTTATAATCCTGCTCTATTTATTGATAATGAATTTGTAAAAAAAAAAATGTTTTACATTTTCACGTTGGTAAGCAAAATATTTTATCATATATAGTGTGATATTCGTGGCTATGACATCTCGCACTTTATGCACAGAAGAAATCTATGAAAAGTTATTAATTGTGATGATTTATGCTATGCTGATTACAATTTTCTATTGCAGTAATGAATTTAGTTACTGACGCTTGTAATCCATCTTATAATTTATCACATGTATACAACCGACTACATTTGATTGTATTCAAAATTTATTTATAAGAAAAGTCTGGACCCTTCTGCTTTCATGAAGGTTTCATTCATTTTCTTTTGTAGAATTATAAATGCTCGGAAAACAATTGAAAACAATGGATTTATTTTTTTTTTTAATTTTTTGTAGGAGTCTTTCCGATAACGGAATTGCCGTTATACCGGACAATGCCTTTAATGGTTTACAAAACCTTTTATATCTGTTAATCTTAGTTTTACTTATTTTGACATTCTGTATGTGTACTTATTTTAGGTACTAGGTAGTAAGCTGTGCATATGTACATGTGTGTTACCATTACTTTTGTAACATTTCTTATTCTTGGTTTGGTTGGATGAAAAATTCCCACAAACAATACAAATCTTTGAGCATACAGGGCAAAAAACACGGGCTCCCCCAAAGTTTGTAATGGTGGGATCATGTGACAAGGAGAAGTAAGCATCCCTTGTCGAATCCCCAATCCCATCTGAAACCCAGTAGATCTATTGACATTTTTCTAAGGAAATACAAACACGTAGAGGATATTGCACGGCATATCTGCTTTATTTGAAACTATTTTTACTTACGAAGTTACCGTATGGGACGGGTAAATTAATGTGATTTTATATTTAAGAAAAAATCGTAATCCCGTTTGTAACTCTTAAAATATTTACATGATTAGTTTCTCATATCTTTTTTTTTTTTTTATTTTTTGAGTTTGAATAAATTTTCGAAGAGAAAAAATGAAATAGACATATAAAATAATAAAATACTGAGACTTAAGTATTCCTTTTTTATTTAAAACAGGAAGATAATAACAGGAATAAATGGAAAACTATCCTTTTGGTATCAAATAAGTAATTACATGAAATCATGAAAAAACATGTGCATAAAATTAACAATTAAAATAAAAATTGAAATATATATATATATATATATATATATATATATATATATATATATATATATATATATATATATATATATATATATATATATATATATATATAGCACTAAGAAACCAACAACACTGTATATCCTAAATGTCGGATCTATCAAGTAGATACAAGGTCACGGATGGAAATTTATATAAAGCACTAAAATGACCAACGACACGAACAATAAAAATTGTCAAATTTTCGGGACGCCCTGTCCCTTCCTCAGGACAAAGAAAAAAGTTAAAAAGTCATAAAAACAAAGAAAAAAGAGAAACAAAAACAACTAGCACTACTACTAAACTACTAAACACTAGATATTTACATGATTACATGTTGAATTGGAAATTTTAAAGAACACTAATAAAGAAAGAAATCCGGACCGCTATGAAATGCGTCCGGTCTATATGGTATACTCGCGTGAAGTGCGATTTACATAATTGAACGAATTAATTATGCTAATTAATTACGATAATCAGTAAATCGTACATTGTTTCATTCTCTCAAAATGGCGTAACTTTACTTAATAAAGAATAATGAAAGAAAAATAATAATGCAGGGATATTTAAACATATGGATTATGATCCATTATAAATTTTGAAGCATTTAAGGATTTATTACCGGGAAAAAATTAAACAAAAGCGTAAACAATAAATAGTTTTCTGGGTTGTCCGAGAGTTGGTGACGCAAATTAACTGTAGAGTTAACACTAAATTGAGAGAATAATCTTGTTCAGTATCATCAGGAATTGGGTCTAGTTTACGTTCATTCTGGTGAAGTCATTCAGTTTGTTAATGCCATTAGGGCGGAATGACTTCAATCTGTGCATCCAGAACTTTTCTTTGCTTTTTCTCTGAGCATCTGTCCATCTTGGGTTATGGTCAATCACCACTACTGTCATGTCCTCCCATTTGTGACCCTCAAGGTTGAAATGTTCTCCAACGGGTTCATTGAGTTTTTTGGTCCTAATGGTCGAGCGGTGGTTATTGACTCTCCTGCGGAGATCTCCTGTTTCACCAATATATTGTTTGGAGCAAACTTTGCAACTGATGAGATAAATGCAGTTGTCAGTATGACAGGACAAATTCCCTAGTATTTTGTAGCTGCGGCCTGTAACTGGGCTGTTAAAATTATCTGTGTCAGTGCTGTGCTTACAAAGAAGACTCCGAAGCAAATTCATACGACTCTTCCAAGCCAGATTTACACGACCTAGAGGAACACAAACTCTATAAGCCCAAGAGTGCCTGGGAACCTACGCCGGGCAAGTGCGGCGCGCTTGAGTCGTATATTGACGCCGTTGAGTTAGAAATAGAGAAGCTCCTTTCAATGCCAGACAAAACTCCCGACAATTTGAGTAAGGAGGAGAGATCTGCCTTACAATCATTAAAAAATCGGGATGACATTGTAATTAAGAAAGCAGACAAAGGCTCTACAGTTGTAGTAATGGATAAAGAGACTTATATGGCGGAGGCCCAAAGACAACTCTCAGACGAACGTTTCTACAAGAAACTGGACTCTGACCCTACTAAAGAATTCTCCACCGCCATTACCAAAACTCTTGACGATATGTTTGAGAAAAATGAGATTGGTATCAACGTCTATGAGACCTTAAATCCTATTGACTGTAGACCAGGACAATTCTATCTGCTTCCTAAAATACACAAAGAAGGCATGCCAGGTCGCCCCATAGTCAGCGCAATTGGACACCCCACGGAGAAAATTTCTGAATTCATCGATTTACATCTCCGTCCACACGTAGAAAGTTTGCCAGCCTATCTTAAGGACACCACGAACTACATTTACAAGACGCCCTCTACTGGCCTCCCAGATCATACCCTCCTCGTGACTATGGACGTCACATCTTTGTACACCAATATTCCACACGATGAGGGTATCGAAGCCTGTAGAGAAGTCTGGGATAGTAGATCCATACTAGTTCCTTCTACCGAGTCCCTTGCTAAGCTCCTTGAACATGTTCTCAAGTTCAATAACTTCATGTTTAATGGAGAACATTACCTGCAAGTTAATGGCACTGCTATGGGTACAAAAATGGCACCGTCTTATGCCAATGTCTTCATGGGCAGACTGGAACGCAACTTGTTACTCCAAGCGCCATTTAGGCCCCATAGCTGGTTGCGTTTCATTGACGATATAGAGATGAAGTGGGTGGAATGTCGCGAGAGCATCGAGGCATTCATTACGTTTGCCAACACCTTTCACCAGTTAATCAAATTTACAGTAGACGTATCTAATTTGAAAAACGTATTCCTAGATACTACATCTACCCTGATTGACGGTGAAATCGAATTCAGTCTCCACACCAAACCCACAGACTCCCACTTATATCTTATGCCCACCAGCTGTCATCCCCCACACACTTTTAAGGGAGTGCCTAAGGGTCTAGCCACCAGAATTCGACGCATCTGTTCTTCCCCTGCCTTATATCAGGAGCAAAGTGGTCTTCTTAAGTCCCACTTATGCAAAAGAGGCTACAATGCCCGCACCGTACAAACAGCTATTGATGAGATGGCGGGACATGACAGGCAAAACCTATTACGCTACAAGGAGAAAGACAATAGCGGCAGGGTCCCTCTGGTAACCACATACCATCCCGTCCTTAAGAGCCTTAGCGGTATCCTTCAAAAGAACCTTCCAATTCTCCATTCAAACAAACGAATGGCAGAGGTCTTTAAGGAACCCCCACTGGCTGCATACAGACGCCCAAGGAACCTTAAGGACATGGTAGTAAGAACCAGACTGGACAACCCATTACCTAACGGGGGCTTTAAAACTTGCTCTGACAGAAGATGTCTTCTTTGTAAGCACAGCACTGACACAGATAATTTTAACAGCCCAGTTACAGGCCGCAGCTACAAAATACTAGGGAATTTGTCCTGTCATACTGACAACTGCATTTATCTCATCAGTTGCAAAGTTTGCTCCAAACAGTATATTGGTGAAACAGGAGATCTCCGCAGGAGAGTCAATAACCACCGCTCGACCATTAGGACCAAAAAACTCAATGAACCCGTTGGAGAACATTTCAACCTTGAGGGTCACAAATGGGAGGACATGACAGTAGTGGTGATTGACCATAACCCAAGATGGACAGATGCTCAGAGAAAAAGCAAAGAAAAGTAGTGAATTGTTTATTTCCACAAGTATCCAAATGTTCACTCAGACGGATTTGCCGATATTCCGGAGAGTTAATATGTTGTCGGTGGACACGCACCCGGGCACGCAATTGATTGCTTGTTTCCCCGATATAAAATTCTTGGCATCCAGCACACGTTATTACATATATTACATTTTTAGTGGCACAAGACATGTTCGCATTGACTGTGAATTGTCTTCCATTAAAGTCATAAGTTGATCCTTCCATTATATGTGTACACATCCCGCAACGCGCGTCTTCACACTTAGTCACTTTGTAACTATTCTTGAAATGGGACGAACACAGAATTCTTCTAAGATTTTTGGGCTGTCTTCTGCTGTTAATAAATTTTACATCTCTATATATTTGTTGTGTTGCGTTTTCAGAACGTTGTTAAGTTGGTGTACTACGGAGGTCAAATTATGATTCCTTGGATTGTGGGTATGCACAAACGGAATTATATCCGTTTTATTTTCCTGGGTATTTGTAGACAGTAATTCTGACCGTTCATATCCTTTGGCTTTCAATATCCCGTTATCTATCAGGTTTTGAGGATATCCCTGTTTTAAAAGGTATAACTTGAGTTCTTTCAGTCGGATATCTCTGGTGTTTTCGTCACTAACGATAGCACATAAACGTCTAGCCAGATTGTATGGAATTGCTGTTTTTGTGTGATGAGGGTGACAGGATCCAAAATGTAAATACTGGTGGGTGTCAGTTGATTTGTAGAAAATATCCGTTGAAAGTTTGGTATCTTCTTTAATGACAAGAACGTCAAGGAAAGGTAATTCCATATCGCTGCTTTCCATGGTAAATTTAATGTTGGAATCTAAGTCGTTTAATAATTGGTGGAAAATTGATAATCTCTCAATGTTGTCATTCCACAGAATGAAGCAGTCATCTAAAAATCGTTTCCACTTTGATGTTATAGCTTCAGCGTCCTCCTCTCCCCATAGAGTGACAAGTCGTTGATGGAGTTTTTGCTCGAGGTATCCCAAAGTTAAGGTGGCATACGTGGGAGCCACTTTTGTTCCCATCGCTGTTCCTTTTGTTTGAATAAAATGCTCTATTCCGAAGGCAAATGTATTGTTTTGAAGTATAATTCTTAATCCTTCTAAGATGAATTCTTGCTCAAAACGATCCTGTAGTAAGTTTGGGTATCTATCAATCCAGTATTTAACCGCTTTTATACCCAAGTCCACGGGTATATTTGTGTATAAATTCACGACGTCGAATGACACGAGTTTCGTATTAGGTTGAATATGTTCTGGTAGGTGGTTGATAAAATCTATATCATCTCTTATAAAACTAGGAACCTTTTTACAATAAGGCTTTAATAAAATGTCTAACAAGTGACTCAGTCTTTGAGTTGAACAATTAGGCCCCCCTACGATTGGCCGAAAAGAGAGATCTTCGGGATTTAGACAGCAAATATATTCTCCTCTCTGAGCCTGTATGGCGTTTTTGATTTCTGATGACTTGTGTACTTTTGGTAATCCGTAAAATTGACTCTCTTTTGTTTCAAAGTTTGTGAGATAGTCTTTCTCCTTATCAGTTATATCTCCCGAGGATGGCCCACTGACAAGTTGTTTTATCTTTGCTAAAGTTTTTGTCTCGTGATTTGCATTAATACTCCCATAGTAGTTAGGGTCCTGTAGCATATTCAAAATCTTACGTTCGTAATATGTTTTATTCATGAAGACTACTCCGCCTCCTTTGTCGGCTTCTTTGATAACGATATTTTCGTCATTATGTAAGTCATTTAAAGCTTTTTGCTCTTCTTTTGTGAGATTAGATCTAATATTCTTCTTAATATTAGGTAGGTTTATATTATCTAGGGTTTCACATACCGTATCTAGAGTTCGATTTCTTCCTCGTTTTGGAATAAAGTGGGATTTATTTCTAACCAGGTCCTCTGGTTCCTCATTTTCACTATCTTCTGTTGATTCGTCGTTATCTTCGTAAAAGTATTCCCTTAGTCGTAGTCGCCTTGTATATTCCTTTACGTCCGTTTTAAGTTCTTGGTTATTCATACGTGGGGTGGGTGTATATTTCAAGCCTCTAGATAATAATTTTATCTCTGCTTTAGTTAATATCCTATCTGAAAGATTAAACACTTTAGGATCAACTTCTATTGATTCCTTGGTTTTATTTGTTTCCTCAACATCAACTAAATTTGCGCTGTTTGTTGATATAATTGTGGTATGTGCCTCTGTCCTTGGTTGGGTTTGCCACCTCCTAAAAAATAGTGCCGCACACCACGTCCGATGAAAGTTGTTTTTTCATTTCTATAAATGTTTGAGGGTTTGTACCGTCTAATAATCCGTTGGTGATTGTGGTTATTATTTTGTAGGTGGTTAATTCCTTGTTGGTATTTCCTCTTAAAGTTATGGTTTTTCGGATAGGAGTGGGGCGAATTTCGTTTCGCGTTATTGAACGTTGTCCATCGAGTGTAATGGCGACGTAGACTTTGTTCTGGGGGCAATGCTTGATTTGCTTTCTGATTTCTCGTGGCATTGGGATTCGATCCAGTCTGCATGGTATCATTGCTCACAACAGACGCATAGGTAGCTCTTGTCGTATCATTCTTACCGGAGTTTTTTGGTCCTGGTTTTCTTATCAACTGTTTTCCTTTCGGCTGTTTAGTAGACTCCTTGCCATATGACTGAGTCACTTGTTAGACATTTTATTAAAGCCTTATTGTAAAAAGGTTCCTAGTTTTATAAGAGATGATATAGATTTTATCAACCACCTACCAGAACATATTCAACCTAATACGAAACTCGTGTCATTCGACGTCGTGAATTTATACACAAATATACCCGTGGACTTGGGTATAAAAGCGGTTAAATACTGGATTGATAGATACCCAGACTAACTACAGGATCGTTTTGAGCAAGAATTCATCTTAGAAGGATTAAGAATTATACTTCAAAACAATACATTTGCCTTCGGAATAGAGCATTTTATTCAAACAAAAGGAACAGCGATGGGAACAAAAGTGGCTCCCACGTATGCCACCTTAACTTTGGGATACCTCGAGCAAAAACTCCATCAACGACTTGTCACTCTATGGGGAGAGGAGGACGCTGAAGCTATAACATCAAAGTGGAAACGATTTTTAGATGACTGCTTCATTCTGTGGAATGACAACATTGAGAGATTATCAATTTTCCACCAATTATTAAACGACTTAGATTCCAACATTAAATTTACCATGGAAAGCAGCGATATGGAATTACCTTTCCTTGACGTTCTTGTCATTAAAGAAGATACCAAACTTTCAACGGATATTTTCTACAAATCAACTGACACCCACCAGTATTTACATTTTGGATCCTGTCTCCCTCATCACACAAAAACAGCAATTCCATACAATCTGGCTAGACGTTTATGTGCTATCGTTAGTGACGAAAACACCAGAGATATCCGACTGAAAGAACTCAAGTTATACCTTTTAAAACAGGGATATCCTCAAAACCTGATAGATAACGGGATATTGAAAGCCAAAGGATATGAACGGTCAGAATTACTGTCTACAAATACCCAGGAAAATAAAACGGATATAATTCCGTTTGTGCATACCCACAATCCAAGGAATCATAATTTGACCTCCGTAGTACACCAACTTAACAACGTTCTGAAAACGGACCGGTCAACACAACAAATATATAGAGATGTAAAATTTATTAACAGCAGAAGACAGCCCAAAAATCTTAGAAGAATTCTGTGTTCGTCCCATTTCAAGAATAGTTACAAAGTGACTAAGTGTGAAGACGCGCGTTGCGGGACGTGTACACATATAATGGAAGGATCAACTTATGACTTTAATGGAAGACAATTCACAGTCAATGCGAACATGTCTTGTGCCACTAAAAATGTAATATATGTAATAACGTGTGCTGGATGCCAAGAATTTTATATCGGGAAAACAAGCAATCAATTGCGTGCCCGGGTGCGTGTCCACCGACAACATATTAACTCTCCGGAATATCGGCAAATCCCTCTGAGTGAAGATTTGGATACTTGTGGAAATAAACAATTCACTATATTTCCTTTTTACAAACTTTCAAGTGAAAGTGATATTCAGAGACGTGAGAAAGAAAAACATTTTATACATGTGTTCAAACCTAGACTGAACAATTGAGCATAATCGTTGTAAAAATTGTATTTATTATTTTCATCTACAGTTTTCCCGCAAAGTTTGACTATGACGTCACAATACACTTTTGTATGTAATGTTCCGCTTATTATGACGTTATGACGTTATGTTGCTATGTTACGTATTATAAAGCTTCTGAAAATTTGAAATGAAAGCGCTTAAGCTAAACTGAAGGTTTTCGTGTTTCTTTTTTGAAAAACATTTACCTATATATATATATATATATATATATATATATATATATATATATATATATATATATATATATATATATATATATATATATATATATATAGATGTTAATTGGTTTATGTACAGGATAATCCGATTTTTGCACAAGCGCTGAATTTTACATTACAGTTTAATTTCATAAGGCAGAAGTTGAGAAGCCATTTTAACGCATGTTAAATTGTCATCTCGGAAGCGAACAAGATACAACCTTCACCCATAACTTCCTCTCGCGTTTCTCTTCCGGAATATTTTTTCTGCCTTGATTCTTACTTTTCACAGATATTGTATTGTTAGTTATTTCCTTTTATCCTTCATTTTTCATTTACCTAAGTACATTGGTAGAGATTTAAATGACAAAGTGAGAAAACTACTGTAAACATCAATGCTTCTTCCAAAGGTTTATACCAATAAAGATTTCGGGACGCTTCGGGACGCTGCACCATGAAAGAATGAAGGTGCCTGCAAGGGTATTAGCATTTATCCAAATTCTTATACAGCAAATTAGATTTTAACCACTTCTGTGCCACAGGGCCGATTTTGAGCCGATCACACAGTTGCGTAGAGTGCCACGGGGCCGATTTTGGGCCGATTTTATTGAACTGAATTGTGACTATGTATTTCTTTTACTTCTATTCAACGTAAATAATTATTGAACTTTTGCATCTTTTTATTGCATAACATTAAAGATTTTATGGCTTATTTGTAGAATATCATGCAAATTTCAGACAAATATATGGATAAACAAAGTGAATTTCATACCAGCGATGACGCCATGAATTTTTGAAATAAATGAGTTGTTGCTTATAATACCGGTATTATTACTATTGAATATGCTCTATGTACACGATTTCATATCAAAAGTTTATTTTCATACTATTATAAATTCAATATATTGAGATACTACTCGTCCATTTTAGCAGCAACGGTTAGAATCAACGTCATTTTACGTAAATGACGTCATAATAACAAGTACGTGTAAGCCAAACCTTCAGCAAACGTTCCGAGTTTATAGATTACCAGTAATCTATATCAGGCATTTA